GAAGATGGCCAGCACTTAATAAACCCAAACCTGGCACCATCCTTTCCAATTACATTTCATCGAGAATCTGCTTTTATGTAAGCCAACATTCCTACAGTAAATCACTTTATGAAATGCTAATATTAATAATGGTATGAAAGATCAGTGTGTCTGTCTTGAGCTAAAAACCATCCGGCCATCCATCCATGGAATTTGCTAATTTTTTTTATCACTATTTCTCTGTTCCCTAGGGATAACACCTACAAGTATTCATGCTGTAGTAGATTCTGCACAAACCAATTAATTCAATCAATGCCATAACATCGAACCAGATACCCGTTTTTTTGTATTTTTTTTTTTACTTTTAAGTGACTAGAGCAAACTTAGAAAAAGTAGGCCTACCTTGCCTATGGACTCTCATGAAATTGACCTATAATATTAATAAGTAACTCTGTGATTTCATACAGTCAATCTGACCATGGCATGTCTATCTGAACAAAACCTCAAAATCTAATTGCACTCAGGTGCACATTTAAAAGCATCAAATTTGAAGACATGAATCAAGTCAGTTGTCATATTGATTTACAGATATTTTACTCTGTAAATCTCTAAATTAATTACAGTACTAACCAATTAAAAATAATATTCATTGTCTTTTCACCCTGTGGGCATTCTTAGAAAGACCATGAGGAGACATTAATACATAACTTATAAGCACAAAAGTAAAAAATGATTTACAAAGCTTAAATATATAACTAGATTTGAAGTAACTAAAGACTAATTCATTAAATTCTTGATCTTATAGTCTAAACATTTCTTAGATTACAATTAATGATGGTTAATTGTATAGCTATACTTGCATTCAGGGATGTATTTGTGTGGATAGGTGGAGGGGGGTGTGCCACCCAGCCTTGTAGTTTTCCACCCAGCCTTGTAGTTTTCCACCCAATTTCAAAGCTAATTTCACCCACGTTTATTAAACCCCCCCCCCCTTTTTTTTTCTGCAGTTGAAACCTTGTTAACTAGGCAAACTTGATATTTATTCTATGCAAAGAATATAGAAATGGTATTACTATTATCTGAGAAATATTTTAATTTACTTGAATCAAGGTTGGGACTAATTTTAGTTTATTTACAGACAATATTTACTAAAAAGCAGTGCCGCCAAGGGTAGTCATGGGCCCTAGAGCAGTTTGCTGCCCGGGCCCATTGGTTGGGGGACCGGGGGAGCCCCAGTGGGCAAAGCCCCTGGAAGCGCCCCAGTGGGCAAATCTCCTGGAGCTACAGCCTTTTAATGGGATTAGAAGATTAATTTAATCGATTATAGAGTGCTTATTTCACCAGGTCAGGCTAGAAATTTTTTTTCCTTGTTTAGCGAACCCGCCGACTGTAAATATTGATGATTTATTTTAGGCCAATTAGTGAACCCGCCACCACGAAAAGTGGAAATTTCAGGAAAAAATAAAATTTTTTCTTTATTTTTATTATGCCCTTAGCTGCCTTGAAATCGCCAAAGATATGTATATTTCTTCCTAATTATATAAATTTGAAGCATTCAAACATCTTATTTTACATTAACCAATAAAATATTTTTCTTAATTCTGCTTTCATGTCCTTTCCCAGGCTCTGGGAAGAACTACCTCCTCTACTTCAAAACTCTGTTAATGTTTCCTGTTTTAAGAATAATTTAATTAAGCATTTTATTTCATTTTATGTTTCTGATTAGTTCTGATTTTTTTTTTGTGTATTTCATTTTATATGAAAGATAGGGAAAAAATATTGTTCGGGCTTTCGCCCATTCCCTATCCGGGCAATGCATGATGTTTTTCTCCTATATGCTTTTTGCCAAATAAATATTATTATTAAAATTTTATTTTAATTTCTCCTCCGTCTGGATGATTTTGGCAAAACTATTTGCTAAATAAGAAAGCAAAATTTTATTTTTATTCCGCCCTCCTCCGATAAACTTTAAAAAAATAAGTATGCAAAACAAGGAATAAAAAAGTCTTGCCTCATGAACAATAAAGTGTAGAAACGTGAAAAGTAAAAGCTCTATCTTTCCTTTTATTCAAATGTAGAGCTATACTGGATGAATGTATACATTTGATCATTTTTCGGGCCCGGGCCACAGGGCACTTTCCCCGTCTGCCCCGGCCTCTTGGCGCCATTGGGAGTAAGAGTACGTTTTGAATAAATATAAGGAAAATAATATTTTTGTGAATAACTTTTATTTTATTTATAACAGTATTTGCATATAAGAGTACATTTTGAATAAATATTTAAAGGAAAATAATGCTAAAAAAAATGATGTTTTGACTCCATTAACCACAAATTCTGTCTTGGGACCATTGGCTAGACATAATGTAGGAAATTTTATATAAAAAAGATGAAAAGAAATGTTTGAGGCAAAGAAAAAGATAAGTTAGTTTCCATCCCATCTGCCTCCTTCTGTCAACGTTGCAGTTCTGTATACCATAGGCCTACTAGAATTGTGTAAGTGAATAATATATCATAATTACATTTTCACAAAATGATTCTATAACAAATATTCACAAATGAGGATCATTCTTTCAAGAAGTAATTAGTGATGATGTAAGTTATACAAAATTTATGCAAATTGTTAAAAAAGAAATTTTTCTGCTATATTCTTACCTTTTGTCCATGAGTAGTTGAATTTTTGTGGAAATGGTTTTCTAGGTAAAAATGATTGTTTCTTAAAAGATCGTCCAAAACCATGAAAACTTTTTGTAATGTGGGTTTTAACATACGCCCAACGGGAACTACGATCCATGATGTAAAGTGATGACACTTACAGATCCTAATGGTTGTTACAATGCTATTGTCCAATGCCACCCAGGGCAGAACCTTTAAACAGTAGTCCACACTTGCTCACAGTGTTCGAATGAGTACGATAAATAAATTTTCCCGACTAGACTTGGTAAAATTAACGGAAGCAAAGCATGCCTTTAAGAAATCTTAGGCGAGCAGGCAGTGTTTACCAATAGATTCTTGGTAATTATTTTGAGTAGCAGCTTCCTGCATTTTAGTTGATTGCGTTAAGCATGTACAATTGTGACTTTGGATGCTATCCAATTTTTGGAGTTTCTTAATTTTGTTATGTTTTTTCCATGTTGAAAATTAGAACTGTATGTGAGTTAAACTGTGAAACATAAAGCATACATGTAACTGCTGAAACGTAATATTGACGGATAGCGTTACAATTATAGTATATATATTCCCCAGTAACAAGGAAATTGATTCGAAGAAGCCTGTTTCACATAATGCACATCAACTCCACCCAAATAATTACCCACATTTTAATTTCAAGACACCATAGCGCAGTTTATTTATTGGTTTATTACCGGTAATATTAAAAGTTACTTATTTAGTTTTTTGAGTGTAAGCTTTCTTATACTGTTTTTGTCTTTATGAATTTTATTATATTTTTTTGACTTAACAATCCTTAGAATTGTTATGCAAAGAATATTTAGTAGGAATGAAATTATTGATGTGTCTGTAAATTTATGAGGAAAAGCTTTTAAATTTAAAGGTAATAGCTGACTTAAATACACAAAGTAACTAATTTAAATTAATGAATACTTTGTTCAATATTATGCACTCTCCACACTAACATATTTCAAAACATGTGACATGCCTAAATATGGTCATGATGACATCACATCATCACCATATATAGACACATCTTGACTATATATAGACATTATTTTCCTGAAGATGATTGAAGCAACTCGATTGAAGCAACTCGATTAAAGCAACTCGATTGAAACAACTCAATTGAAACGTCGAGACATTCTCAACCAACAACAGTTCTTTTCAGAACTCTACCACAAGCATTAACATAGGCCTATATTATTAGTTCGCCATGCAAACCTTCAAACAATATTTTATACATAGGTATACCATGGACCTATAGGAATACAATAGCTTTTTGTCAAGTAAAATATGATAGTTTTGACAGGGCATTAATGATATGTTAGTCTTCTAATAGCCCATCATGCCAACCAGGCCTCTATGCACTTTACTTTAGGACACCTATGGAACACACACTCAGACCCTGTGGAGAATCCCATTATATTGTAGCTAGTTAATATTCAACAAACTGGTGTTTAAAACTACCAGGTACCTACTTTTGTTTAACCATGTAATAACATAGCATGTCCTAGAATATCGGCTGATATTCAGGGCCCTCTGAAATATATGGCAATAATTTGATGCTTTTATCAGCGAAGTCTCTTAATGATGATTAGGGAGTGGAGTTGTTTTTTTTTTAGTTGTGGAAAAAAGTCCTCCTATCACAGAATTTGAACTTGGACCCTGGGATTAGAAGGCAAGCATCTTAACCACTAAGCTATTCAACTCCAATCCACTTATAATCCTGGTTGGAAAAAGTCAACTGTGAGCCCAGGTCAGAACCACTGTGTCAGCCACTCTTTTAGTCGTATAAAATATGTTCCATTTGAGTAGCTGAAAACTCTAACAAAAACCTGAAATATGAAATCATCTTGGCTTACCAAATTGCTTAAAACTAGTGGTAAAGACTCTGCATTTGGTAGTAGTTGGGAAGGCTTGCACAAAACAGATTAACAGTATGAATAAGAGATTGTGTGCCGTTAGACTGAACAGTGAGAACAGTGCTGCGAACTGATACTATACATTTGAAAAATGGAGGATTTAAATATTTCTTTGCAGTAGAATTTTGACATTTGTTGTATTCTCTATTGTATTGTAGTTAGATGGCCAATAGCTATAGTCACAAAACATCACTTCAATGATAACCACAAAAGTTATTACCTTTAACATCAAATGTAGAAAATGAATACAATTGAAATTCCTAACAATAGTGTTTCAGAAAATAGTCCATTTTAAACATTAGAAGAAACACTATGCAGTATTAATTTGTATATACTGTATACGGTAGTTTGAAAGTAATTTGTTTTGTTTAATATTGTGTAAAGTTGAAACTTAACCCAAAATATTGTTTTTTTGTACTTCCTTTGCAGAAGAGTTTCTATGTCAAGATGTAAACCGTTATACGTGTCAAGCAGACCGAAGACTCACCAAGCGGCTGTGTGTAAGGAGCTGGGGAAGCCCCTTCAAATCACTCATGTACCATCTGTCGTAAATTTAGGTGAAGGGCAGGTAAGGTATCTAAAAAGGAAGGATGCTATATCTCAAATACTTATTGCTGAAATTGTCAGTGTTCCCATGTTAAAGTAAGCTTTAGATGTTATGTGGTCTTTTTCTCCATTGTTGCTCATAAACTTTAAAACTAGACTGTCCTGTGTGTAAAAAAATAGGGTTATGTCCATCAGAACATAGTACACTCTTCGGAAAAGATCAAATGATTTTCTTGCGGATTCTGCCCAATTTTTGTAACACCAGGGGTGGTGCTATACTCAAGCTGTCTTTGGTTCCAAGTTACTCAGCCAAATATTTTACTTACTTCAACGAGACCATGACAGAGCATACATAACTTCTAATAATATGACAGAGGCGATGAATCTGAATATTTTAACCATCTTCAGGTCATCTTCAGGAAAGACAAATTTTACAGTACTTAAAGGTAACATTACATTTGAACTACTGTGTATTTAAATTTGAACTTTTAATTCATGTTCCAGGTAAGGATAGCAGTTCACTCATGTGGAATCAACTTTTCAGATGTACTTCTAGCAGCTGGGTTATACCAGGAGAAACCCCCGCTGCCTTTCATACCTGGTAAGGTAATCAAACTACGAAGGAAATTTGTACTTTTAACTAATTAAAATAATGGTATCGATTGATTGAACTAATTTGATCTTTGTTTAAATTTCTTCAATGATTCATTTTTATAATTTATTTATTATCTTTGGTGACAAGTTCTCATGGTACTAACATCACTTTGACCCTTTTACACTGTTCTGGTTTTCAGATATTTATTTTAAAAAGCTGTCCCAAATAGCTGTACTTTCCTAATATTGTTGTCATCAATTACTTCAGTGATTTTCGATTGTGACAATCATTAATACAATTATTTAATCTTGAGAGGTTGTGAGTAAGAAGACAGCCCCTGGTCTACAGTAGTAATTTAGAGCTGGACATTTTAAATTGATTTAGTAAAATTGTCCTATGGATACTCTTTTTGTACAGTAGTAAAATTGTTGTACTATGGATGCTCGTTCATTGATAAGTCTTTGGAGATATGAACTAAAACTCATTTACCAGAGCCGTGGGGGTGCGGAATGTGGCCGCACCCCCCAAAAATGCAAAAAAGTTCCGCTGGTATAGGCCTAAGCCTATGCGTGCCTAGTACTAAAATTGAAAATAGTAGAACTCGATTAGGCCAACAAAATTATATAAACTTTTGATATGCCTAGTAGTAAAACAAAATAAAAATTTATTTTTTATCTCAAATATGAATAAACACTACAGTAATTCAAAATAAATACTGTGTATTCTTTTCCTTCCTTATTGTTTACGTGTCGGCACTAATGTGTCCTCGTACTCATACTGCCGTCATTTCATTCCACTAGACGAATTCACCCAAAATGCGATTTTTGATCCCAAGGTCCTAGGCTCATTTCCGACAAAAACATCTCCACTCCCTAAGCCTCATAGAGAGACTTCGCTAATAAAAGCATCAAATTATTTCATTTATTTAAGGAGGGCCCCTGATTGCAGGGGGAAAAAAAAAACAAAAAAACCAGAGTTGAAAAACTTCACATCTCTGCTTTTTTTTTCTTCAGACTTCAACAACTCCCTCCCTAAGCCATAAGCAAGTCCAAGATCCATTCCCATCCTGATAGAATTAATCACATGCTTTGGAGGGGGTATGGAAATGGGGAAATATAATTATAACTAATTTTATATGTGAAACTAATTTTTGTGCAGTATTTGTGCGGCTCATTAAATTGTTTTTGATTATGTGAATTTATATTTGCATATAAATCTTAATATATCATTAACATTAAATGTTTGCCACAAGTTATTAATGTCCTTTTGATAGCGTTTATTGGAATTAACCAATTATGTACCACGTGTTTGAATTCTAATTTAGAGACATTCGCATTAGTGACTGTCAGTTGCACCTATTAGAACATGAATCAAAAATTGACATTTAGCATTAGTCATCATCGCTATTATCTATCCATAATGAACATGGAAGAATCTATTGTTATTGCAAACAGACAACTGTTTAATTCCACAGGAAAGCTATCTTGCTGAAGTGTTAGCTCACCAGGTAGAGAGTATGCAGTCCCTGATTGTTAGTCAGCACTGGCTATGCCATTCCTGACAACCTTCCCAGCTTGTTTATATATTCCCCGAGCCTATTATTCTTATTATCCCATCATTCTCCCATTACCCTGTCTGATTCTAGGCAATAATACGTAAATGACTACCTCTGATAATGAAAGCACATTTTCCCTCTCATGAAAAAAATGTTTGTACAAAAAAATTCTACCAAAATATTTTGCCAAATTGCTATTTAATATTCTATTTCAGATTGTAGTTCATAAGAGCACAACAGATGTCTTTTATTGCATTTAACATCTTTGAGTCTGTTGCTTTATGCTTGTTGAAAGAAGTCTTCTTTTAGCTGTTTTTGTCAAGCTTATATAAAATAATTAAATATAAATTAACACTTAGTGTTCATGTAAACAGCATCCGATAGCAACAAATATGCCAATTACAATTGCTGATAACTCTTTAAAATAACATAATGGTACTTGTCTTATGCTTTACCAATACCAGTAAATTGTATTTTTCTGCAGTGTGTTTGTAGTGGTCTTTTTATATGCAGACTTCTATGCTATTTTTTACTGCAATCTGTTCTAGTAATTATTTCAATATTTATGCCAGAAGAAGCAGCAAATTGGTTTTTTTTTTTTTTTATACAAAGACAATTTTACCAAAAGTGATTAATGTTATATAATTAAGGCAAAATTAAGGTAAAGTCGAAACACAAACTCACAGGCCATAGTGGCAATTTCTTCCTTGGCGTTTCATTCTTTTGCTCGAATTTCCATTTCTTCATGGTGGCTGGTATGTTTACTATTTTTATTCAAAATCATTATTGCTAAGTTAAAGGTTGATGAAACAAGAGATAATAAAAAATCTCACCTTTCCTAATATCACAATATCTGCAAACATAATATATATTAAATTTAATGTATTTCCTTTTAATCAAGTATGTAATTCAAAATCTAATAAACTACAGAGGTAAAGAAATATCTACAGAGATATTAGGCTAATCTTGAAAGAACTAGTTCAAATAAATTAAAGCTTATGTTAGGAATGAAATCTCAATGGATTTGCTTCTTGATGTAATTCTTCCTTGTTCAAATTTTTTTTTTTGTGTGTAAATTAACGAAAGTAATAAACGTACATCGATGTGCAGTTGTGAAATGAGTATGTGTGCATGTGGAGACCGAAATGTCAGATTTAGGAGTTCGTTACATTATACATAAGTTTGTACTATGAATCTTGTTGAAAGATTTCATGTCAGAAGAGTCTCCCTAAACAGTTAAATGAAGGGGGTAGTTTGTTTACTTCTTATTCACGATTTCACGACAACGATTACTGTACTTTCTTTGTTTTATTTTAAAATAAAATATTAAAATAATTTCTATATCTTCTTTGGAGATGTTGAGATGCATGTTTTTTCATGAATTTATCAGTCATAGCATATAGCATGTTGACAATATCAACAAATTGATAGCAGTTATATGGTTTTTGTTTATATCTGTTACTTGCTTCTGAATCAAATTCGTCTGTCTTTGTCCACTTCTATTTCAAATTTAAATTGAACAACATTTTCAATTGTTGGATGAATGAAATTTTTGTGCAAGAGATATCAAATTTGGACTACACAACATTTTTTTTTGTCTAAGGTTGCATGCCCAACATTAAACATGGCATTTACTTATTAGAGCCACTAAAGAAATAGTTATATATTCTTTTGATTTCTTTTTCTCATTAGGATCTGAGGTATCTGGTGAGGTGCTTGAGGTTGGCAATGGAGTCAGCAAGTTTTCAAAGGTCAATATATATTTTCCCTTTAAAGTTAGAATATCTGTGATGAAAAATCTCTGGGAAAAAGCCTTTAAAATCAAATTACACTATTAATTTGGTCATTTAAAATGGATCAAAATAAGTTACCGACTTCCAATGCTCAACCTCTTATAAATGCTCATATTATATTGATGGTGTTGATGTGCATTTTTACCATTTACAGTGACATAACTCAAAGAATAACGTGTATGCTTTTCCTTAGTATTTTACAATTTTGAAAATGAAACTAGATAGTTCCTCCCAGAGGACTAACAGATTGCAGAAAGTGATTGAAGGGTGGTAATAATTAATTCCTATTTACCTCTTAATTACATTTTCTATCATTAAATTTTGGTGTGGAAATATTTGAAAATAAAAACTTAGCATATATATATACTAATTATTATATATTTCCTTGTGATTTTTGTGTTGTTTGAATTTTAAACGTAAAGACCATTTTCTTCCAGTTTCCTGCCACATTTCATGATACATATAGATATTTTTTTACAAGTATTATATGTACTTAATTTTCTATGTAAAGCTAATTTTAGCCAGTTATCTATTTATACAAAAAATAAATATTAATTCAGTTGTCTTACCTTTAATTGTATTTTATAGGGAGATCGTGTTTTAGGATTACTGAATCTGCAAGGTTTTTCACAAGAGTGTGTAGCTGATCAAATGGTAATTAATATTTTAATCAATTGTTAATTAACATCAATTATCTGTGATTGGTTTCCAACATTTCACCAATACAAAATGACCACAACTTCACAATTTGTTATCTTTTACTTGATCATTTTATCCTGGAGGTGCCATACATTTTCCAAATCATTTCAATCAAACGTGAGGTAGGGCAAAACATCACTCCCATTTCAATTCAATCGTTTGTTGCTCCAAATGCCATCGAGGGCTGTTATTTGCCAAAACAATATATGTACAAAAAATATAATACAAATAACGACAATACAAAAAGGACCTTTATGCATAAAGGAAATGTGCATCTTCGGGTATGGATGTTACTCCACTAAGATCCTAGTGACCGGCATAACCCAACCCTATCAAGCTATATACATCATGGGGCTCATTACTTATATTAAATTTAAATAAAACATATATAATAGTCTTTACATACTACTTAGTACATTAGGCTTCTGTAAATAATTATGAACAAAATTCCTAATTACCTTTAGTGTGTGTGGTTTCCAAATAGTTACGGTTTTTTCCCAAGGAAATTGCGTTTAAAGTTTGAGATTCTGGCGTCAATTAACGCTTGCTGCAGTTTAACGTCCTCTGTTGGTGGAAGTTCTGACTCATACATCATAATCACTGTCACCTTGCAATACTGGAACCTAGAATATCTCCATAGTAATGCAAAATGAGATCAGCGCTTTCATTTGAATGTCGTGAAATTTGCGAAGCACTTTCATGAGTGATGGTGATAGTTCATAAGCCGTGACAATCGCGTGCAATGCTATCTTGAGTGTCGATAATTTAATTCGCAAGTTGCGAATCTTTTTTCTTAATAATGTCCATTTCCTGTTTCAATCATTTGTTTATTTATATATCTTCTCTGTTCTCTGTATTTAATTGCTACCCTCATGCCAAAATTAACTTAATTAATTGTGTTTCTGATAATCCAATTCACTCTATTTAAATTTTTTTTAAAGCCAGGAAATTATTTAAATCAAATCTGTTGCAGTTCATTGATTAATGTTTATCTGTAACCCCTTCACTCACACCCCCTTCCCCAAGTCCAGGATACCATTCCAGTATCAGGTACATCAAGATTGAACCAAACGAAAAGGATATGGAACATGTGGGACGGTGCCAGCAAATGGGCCAGCTAGGCCCTGGCCTAGACGCTTGGGACACCTGACCTAGCCATTTACGGACAATTTTAATTTTTATTATTTTCTAAGCCAGGAGACTTCCGACCTAACAATGCCATAGAGGTGAAATGAACTAAATGTTTTCACCTCAACCCAAACCATAGTGGGAGTGAGGTTGGTATGGCCCATCTTTCGAGGAACCATGGTCCACCTGTTGCAGCATCTTACACTACCACTATGGAAATTTACTTAATGTTATATTTATTGTGTGTTATAGTGTGTTTGGACGGGGATATATAATGATTCATATTAAGGTAGATCATATCATTACATTAAAATCCTATTGTTTTATTTCTCGTTACTTGGACTATTTTTATCTAAATATGTTACCACAATATTTTGGTGTTGTTTAACTAGAGTTTATGGAAAATGCCAGACAGCATGAGCTTTGAAATGGCAGCAGCACTACCTATCAGTTACGGAACAGCTTGGCTTGCTCTAACTCGAAGATCCAACACAAAACCAGGGTAGGCCATTCTAAATATCTAATATTATAATTAAGATTATATATACTCGCAAAAAAAATATAAATAAGAACTGAAAAATGCCCTTAATGGTAAGACGTCTGAGGATGGTGCTACGGTATATTTCTTCCAAATGTATATTTAGGCATTTGTGCGGTAAATCGTAACAAACATTTTGTCGTTACTCAAATTAGTATGATTCTTGTTTAAAGTAGCAAGGTCATAGATCTGATTGAAATATGCAAATTGAAATACATTCCTGTTGATTTGATTTGATTTATTTGGTTTCACAAATAACATTAAATAAAATGAGTAAACATTAAAAATACAAAGTACAAGTTAAAATGAACAGAACCTGGATAACCAAATGAAGTTTTAAGCAGAAATAAAACTTATTTCCATTTGGGTCCATAACAATTATGTAAACTAAAGCAAGTGCCATCGAACAATATAATTAAGTACAAGTTAAAATGAACAAATTGAACCTGAATAACCAAATAAAGTTTAAACAGTAGTAAAACTTATTTACATGTGGGTCCATAACAATTAAGTAAACTAAAACAAGTACCATGGAACAATATAAAAATTCGTAAAAATGATAGAAGATCATTCCTGGTTTTATTATCACTTCCCCTTAAATGAAACTTTATGGCCTACTTCAGAGATTTTTTACTACGCCTGTTCCATATAGTTACGTGCTGACCTTCAGAAAAGTCATGGGGGCGTGTGAAAAATACGAGACAGCTTATTGGCTAAAATATTTCATGGCCTTATTTTGCAGTGTTTTAGGGCAAATTTGGCTCAAATTATTGACACATTATACAGTAAATAAATGTTTACTAATAAGTGATTAGTCGACAGTAGGCTGCGTTTACTAATAAGTGATTAGTCGACAGTGGGCTGCTAAATTTAATTCAAATGATCCACTGAGATTTCATATTTTTTTCGGTTTTGATGAGAACTATCAAAACCAATTTCCTGATGAGATATGAATCCACAGGCTACTTGGAATTCTGTGATGACATCAATGTGATGAAATCATCATGATTGGTTAATTGATCAAAGGTCATGACTATGATCGTAAGAAACACAGTATAGTACTTACCATGGGCGGATCCAGAGGTGTCAGAAACGAGAGGGGAGGCCGTAAACAAAGTATATATTATATTATGTTATATTTTTTATCATAGTGCCAAATTACATGGATGTAAGATGTAGAAAATGGAGTGGGTTTTTTTTCCTGTTTTCTTTTATGTCATTTCCAAACACACACATTGAAACAAATTTCGCTGACGCAGCAGCAACATAGCAAATCTGTATTGTTAGTGTATTTCTTTTCTGCCTATATTCGTTTATAACTTGTTTTATGTTACCATCAATTATTATTTTTTTAAATGTCATAGCATTAAGTATACATAAATTTCATTTTGAATGCATTAAATTTTAAACCCAAGTATAGTAATTTCTTCTGGTTTTTAGCGAGACATTGTTTATACCTTGTTTCTTGAACTTGTTATTTTTTTAAGATTGTCAGAGGATGGTGGAAAAAATTTAAAATAAAATTTTGTTTTCTTATTTAGCAAATAGTTTGTCAAAAAAATCTAGACGGAGTCGAAAATAAAAATACAATTTTACTGTTGAATATAAACAATGGGATGGTTAAATGCTTTAAATTTATATAATTATGAAGAAACATACATATCTTCCATTTTTGCGTGGTGGCCAAAAATAAAATTTTGCGAAACATGGGTATAAAAAAGTCTCGCTTTATGAAAATACTGATTTTCTTAGATGTTGCTTTGCATTGCTAGGCCTTGCCTAAAGTATTGACTAGGAAATTTAGGACACTGTAGAATCTCTTGCATCAATTTCCTTCAGTTATCTTCCATAGCTAGGCCTTACATTAACCTTTGAAAAGGTTTTTGCACATTCAAAAAGATACCTATAATTGATTGATTGATCAGTTTTGATAGTGCTTAGATAGTAGTTAAACTTAATTATGGTTGGCCTTATAATTACTCAAGTTTAGTAGCGTAGACATTTGGCGCAGTGCAAGACTCCAGGCTTCCAATCAAAAGTTTAAAGATTTAAATCTGATGCTAGCAGTTACTGTATGGCCTTGGACAAGATATTCTATGTCACATCATATATTTAATTATAGATAATTGGCAGAAAATGGTAGAATGAGTGATAATGGTGAAAAGAATTTATCACTTTGCAATTTAATTTTTGCAATTACCAACACATTATTATTTGTTCCATTACTTTAGTTTTATAGCTTAGAAGAATCATACTTCTGATTTTAAACAAATAGGGACATTTATTTCTCTGAACTTACCCATTACATTAATGATTTTTGTGTAAATAAAATTTTAAACTGAAGAATAAAACAATTATTTAAAAAGTTACATAATTTAGTTTCTTATTCTTCTTTTCATTGCAGAGAAACAGTCTTAGTAACTGCCGCAGCTGGAGCTGTTGGCCTGGCAACGATTGACCTAGCAACAAATGTCATAGGAGCAAAGGTAAGCAAATGAATTGTGAATTTGAAAAAATACACATTTTTGAAGACAGATAGTGCTATGCTCACATAGTAATTATATAGGAATTTATACTTCACCTTTTGCCAAGGTGCCAAGAGATACAAGCCACTGGCAATGGTTAATTACTTGCACTGCACCAGCACAAAGTGCAACCTTCTTTAAGCCCTGCCGACACTATCAAGTTTAACATTACATGCCTAAATATGGTCGTGATGACATCACATCATAACTATATATGGGCATACAACAGTTTTTTGATAATGTGGACAGATGTTTACTACATAGGAGTGTACCAGCCGGAGTACTACATACTGTAGGAGTGTACTCAAATTTTGAGTATAAGAGTGCCATTTCCGGCCTCTATAGGTGCCATAATCATAAGTTTTCTACCCCCAGCCCCAAACATGTTGGGGCTGAGGTAGTATAGATCCTCCATCTGTGAAAGCTCCTCTCTGGGCCTCCTCTGTTTCAAATTGCTGGATCCACCACTGACAGATACAGGCCCTATGACCTCAAATTTGAGAGCCCAAGTCGTAGCTGTTGTGGCAACCCTTCCCATATGGTGATCACTGTTACATTATCACAGCCAATCATGGGGATTAAATCTCTAGATGCTATATTCATTCAGACGTAGAGGGATGAACAGAAAAAATTATGACTTGTAGAATTTTATAATAGATCAAATTTGAGTCACAATTACAAAAGAAATTGATGAAGGTGTATTAAAGTTGAAAGTGTTTCTGTGACGTCCCTGAATCCTGTTACGTTTTTAAGCGACATAAATGAAGCAATAAGCAAATCTTCATTTATCTTGTCTTTCGGTGTTAATGTCAAACTATTTTTGACATTATCGAATGACTGGTAATTAAATTGGTTTTTTTTCTCCTTTTTTCAGTTGTTATAATTGATGTATAAATGAGTAAAATATAGAATATCAATTATGATAATATTACTAGAAATATCCTCCTCTGTGTTGGATTATTATAAATGTTTTTCAAAGTTAGTAATACTATCAAACAAGTTAATTGGTGTCATTATTCATTATAGTAAAAACTCCAATTATGTTTCAAGCGAAATTATAACTATCCAGGTATCTATAGACCACCTAAGTTCTAACCATGGTTGAGATGTGGTATTAGTTGTCATCTTCAACCTTCAGATGTTCTTCGATCTCCAGGGTTGTAATATGCCCAAACCAGCCCTGGGGTTAATGTTTGAAGTTGATTTAACATAATTATGAGAGATTAATTGTAACTGCAACTTTTTTGAGCCTTAGTCATTTCCTTTATCAATTATTGGATCGTTTCTTTAATTCTCATGAGCTTTTTGTAAAATTGATAAAATTACAGAGTGGGCCGACTCCAAATGTTAAATCATCATCACTGACCTTCAAAAGATGCAAAGTCTTGTCATGGTCACTTAATTTATACAGTAAGGAGGTAACAAATATTTTGGCGGAAATATTAAACGTGCGTGTACATGTAAGTGCGTGATATGTGTGTGCACGTTTGGAGATGATGACGGAAAATACCTGGAGGATTGCCAGCTAATTTTGAATAATAAATCATTCGATCTTTTTTGATTAAATTTTGACACACGCTTATATTTCATAATTTGCTTTAACTCTTCCTATTATTGTGAGATGTGTTGATGTTTTCTGTTATTACCATGAAGTAGTTATTTTGTGTTTGTTTTAGGACAATATCATAGGAGTGATGTTTTGCCCTACCTGATATGTTATCTGGATACTCAATATGTTCCCAATTGCAAAAAAAAATGTGCAAGTGATTCCGTGGGAATTGAAACTGCAACCTCCATGTTGTAGTTGCTAGTTTTCATTCAAGTGAAGTTTTTAAATTAAAATTAACTTTCTGGAGTTTTGAAAAACCTTGAGAAATCTGATTTCCCAAGGTACCTAGCATAATGATAATGCTCTTGAAATGGGGATACATCAAATGGAGATGATATAGCAAAATGGATGCTAAGGAACAGTATCCAGCATTGCCATCTTCACCATCATCATCATGATCAGTAACAACATATTTTCGGCACTAATGCCTAAAGCAATCATAATGTAATAAAATTATTTTTTTTCATAGGCTGTTGGTGCAGCTGGAGGCCCAGAAAAATGTTCCTTAGTAACAAAAAGAGGAGCTTTGTGTAGTGTAGATTACAAAATAGAAAATATCAGGGAAAAAGTGAAAGAGGCTACAGGGGGGAAAGGAGTGGATGTAGTCTTCGAAAGCGTTGGTGGCGATGTATTTAAAGAATCTCTAAGATGGTAAGTGCATACATTAAAGAGATGATAGATTATATAAACTGTCTATCTATTGGTTAGTGTATTAGCTGAAGGTATACTGTTCATGTTCAAATTTGGAAAGAATTCCTAATAAACAATGTTAAATTGCTAATTTAAAAGCTGAGAACCAATTAGGTTTTCTCTGATTTAAAGACGTTTCCTTCAAAAAAAAACTAAATTAATTACCAGTCAGTTTTAAATTTAATTAACTTAATTAACTATGGTTCCTTAAGAGAGTATCCAATGAGAACCATATGGGTTCAGGGTGGGGTCCACAGGAACAGCTATGATGGGACAGAGGGCAAGGCTTAAAAGCATAAAATGATGAATTGTATTATTTTGATGGTATTTTAAGAGGGCTCAGTCTAAAATGGGGGTACAACCAAAGTATAGAAAACCTTACTTTGCCTATGGCCCTAATTAACTGGTTTATTAAATAACAGTTTTAATTAATTATGGACCATTTTTGGTAATTGTCATGCGGATGTTTTCATTTTATACCTTTGAAAGTTCTATATTTAGGATTATGATATTTGAAAATGTTTATTAAATTATAAATTTATGATGATACAGAGGTAAATGAAATATTACTGGGTACAATTGTCAAAGAAATTGAATTTTATCTAATTTCCGATCTTAAGTTTTGTGTAAACTTCAAATTCAGTCAATTGCAAATTAAGATGGCATCTGACAATTTTGGTTATCCATAAATTATTTTCACATAAAAAATTTTTGGATAAAAATTCAAAAAATTAAATCATCTACAGTGCATTGAATGATGCATTATAAGATTTTTTTTGGGGGGCAGAATTCAACATTTTATCAAATCAACTTTCATGAATCATGATGAGATATGATGGAATGATGTAAAGTGCATCAGTTTGTTCTTGTTAATGAGTAACTAGGGCACTTGGCAGAGCCCTTGGGGAACTGTGTAAGCCACTGAGCACCACTCCTAGTGTTGAATCAGAGTACTTCAGAAGAAATTTGAGGAGTGTACTGTATTTTTTAACATGCACACAGACCATGCTATAAAAAGAAACAATGGCTTAAGTTATTCCTACTTCTTATCCTCAGTTTTAAATTAGCATCTGATTGCTCAACTCTTTGAATGATCTTCACATGAGGGTAATGTTCTGACCACACTATCAAATTTTAGGCCAAATATAAAATATTACTACTCATCCCCATTCTCAGCCTCACCAATTCTGTTTTTTTTTTTCCCTTTATTTTACGTAATGTACGAAAATCTGGCTAACTCGCATCAGTAAAATTTCTCTTTGAAGGTTTGCATGGCGAAGTATAATATATATAATTAATGCTTGTGGTACACCACGTAGATAGTTCTGAAAAGAACTGTTGTTGTTGGTTGAGAATATCTTGACGTTTCGGTTGACTTGCTTCAACTGTCTTCAGGAGAATTCTCCTGAAGACGGTTGAAGCAAGTCAACCGAAATGTCGAGATATTCTCAACCAACAACAACAATTCTTTTCAGAACTATCTACGTGGTGTACCGCAAGCATTAATTATATATAAAATTTCTCTCTCAATTGTTCGTGGTTGGGGATACATATGGTATGATTCATGTCTAGTACTTCTTTTATTTGCTTTCAATGTGTTTACTTGGTAAAAGTTAGAAAGTAGTAGCTGTTGACCATCTTGGATTTGCCATATTGGAGTAAAAAAAAAAAGTACTGTCATTCTCCTTTTTTCAAAATATTAGAACAAGAAACTATATTTTTTTTTTATTTGGCCTTATGTGACCTTGTGTGATGTGCCCATACATCAACATGATGATTCGGTGGGATAAAGGGAAAAAGATGAGTTTTCCTTGTAAATTTTATAGGGAGAGCAGAACTTTAAAATTAAAATAAATTTATTCATTCTTGAAACACATAAAAATGTAAGTAAAGAAAAAAAGGGAATTAGAAATTAATGAAAGGGAAACACTAAATTATTGGCATAGAATAGAACTACAGTAGGAACCCAATGAATCTCCATTGTTTGGTGCACATAGGGAAATTCTAGTTTTAACCAACAACACTATGCTATAAATAAATGTCAATAATAATTTTCATGTATTTTCAGTCTATCCTGGGGAGGCAGACTCGTTGTGATAGGTTTCGCTGGGGGCGATATTCCAAAGGTGCCAGCCAACATCCTCCTAGTAAAGAACATCTCAGCTGTTGGCCTGTACTGGGGTAGTTATCGTCTAAAGGATTTCCAGACATGGAAGTCTTCCATTGAGGATGTTATGAGGTTCTTTGAGGCGGGAAAGATCGAACCACATGTCTGCAAGACTTTCCGGCTTGAAGAGGTTTGTTGAAATTATACAGGATAATTTGTCGTTTTATGATTTGACAACCGTAATTGTGGCAAAGACAAGCCAAAAACGTTGCTGAGCAGGGATCTGTCAAAATATACCCTGTCCAGCAGCAGTTGAGTCTCGGCCATCCCAGTTCTCAAGCGCCTCCTATCCTAATAAAACTACAAAAAAATTATATAGAAATTACAATATACATTTTAATCTGTCTATTGTTTTGTATTTCTATTTGTCTCATTTATCAATGCATAGAGACCATATGGCATGGTCATGGTCATATAATTAACATGGTCATGTAACATATTGTGGCCACTCATTACCATTTCAATTTAGATTATTAAAAATGAGTAATGATAGTAAGCATGTCTCTCTTACCAACTTGATACAATTTTTATAATGTTTTGTTCTGTTTTCCTATTGCCTATATCTTAATTATTAATTTTGTTCTACAAACATCATTATAGAAATGCCTAAGTATTTTGATATGTTTTGCATTGGTTTCGGGAGTTAATGCCTGCTGTTGGCGATAATGGTTCCTGTTACCCCTCGACACCCTGATTAAGTTAAATGTGCTTTTGAATATCAAAGTTGATAGAGAAAGACATTTGTTATATAATGCAAAGCAAAAAAAACACCAACCTTAACTTACTTATCTTATCACGACTGAACAAAAACTTAAATTAATAAAGTTGTTTAAATGACCTTTTAAACGAATTTGAAATAGACCATATAAATTGAATTTTGAAATTGTTTTTTAATGCTGGTTTCTTTCCTATAAATGTTAAAGCTCTAATGAATAAATTTTGCCAAGTTTTCATCAGTAAATTATGACCTTTTCCTGATTGAAAAAAAAAAATCACATGATTTTTAAAAATACAATTTTGAGCAATTCAGGCGTCTGTTTGAAAACTTATATTTTGTTAATTCTTTGTCGTTTCAGGTTAATGAAGCATTTAGGTACATACAACAGAGAAAGTCCACTGGCAAAGTTGTACTGAACATGCAGTAACATGCTAAGCTGTTCTTTAAAGGGCAAGGTTGTCTGACTCAAAATTTTGTGGCCTTGAGTCACCAAATTCTGTGGCTCATTAAAGGTGATTTCAAAATTGATGAACCAGTTTGTGATCTAAATTCCAAGTAATTTCTTTTTGAAATTAGAAATTGGATTATTATGATTCTCAAATTATTATTATTATTGTCATTATAATGTAGGCTATGATGAGTTTAATACTAAACATTTATTAAATCAATTTTTATTATTATAATTCAGATACTTTTATTATTTCTATTAATTTGATAATTTTATTATTATTATTATTATTATTTAGCGCCTTGAGCACTTTAGTGGAGATGTACGCTTAATAAATCTTATTATTATTATTATTATTTGGAAGAGAGCCCAGTACATCTCTTTCTGAGTAATAATACAAATTACAATTCCCAAAAGTGATCCAAGTATATTTTTTGAATGAATAGGGAATTTCTCTGGGTCACATCAGCTCCTCATAACATAAATACAATAAATGCAGATTTGGGAGATACAACCATAGGCATATTACCCATGGATGTAAATGTAAATGTCAATAATATGGTTCTGATTATTAGGTCCCTGGAAACCCTGGTGGCAGCAGTGCAAGGCCCACCATGGTTAGTAAACAGGGGCCTTCTGGAGTGTCAACCAAACTTACCAGGAATGTGTTTGTGTCCAACAAGCACGTGTTGTCCCACAAACATGTGTTTACATATATTTACGCTACTGTTTTGTTGGAAATTAGCAACAATATTCAAGGTGCGGGGCAGAAGCAGAAATGTCCATTCTCTGTTCTAATACAGTAATAATACATGTTTTTAATAGTGTGCTGGGTTCCTGTTCATGCACATGTAATGTCAGTGTTATCACACAGCATAATTTCCCATCTGGAGGACATAGTGTGTACCCAGGTACATAAGCAAGAGCAGACTTTGCTGGTTTCAACTTGGTCCCTCCTGCACCGTGTTCAAATTCCTTAATGATCGGGGAAGGACTTGTCACAATGGTTCTCATCATTATTTTTAACACAAAGTTCAGCTTCCGAGTCAGTAATTTGAGCACTCCCATACCCAGTGGTGGCACCAGAGGGTGAAAGGGGACATTTACCCTCCGTCGGACAGACCTGGCCCCCTGTTGTATGGCGCACAGCTAAGTCGATGGATCAGAAATTTAGGTTATAATAATTTGCCTGCAAATCCCTAATATTGTGGTTTGGATCATACTAAGCCATAAAAATTCTCCCAGTGAACCCTAAAAGGGAGTTTTTATTCCGGGCCATTTTATTCCGGTGCCACCTCTGCCCATACCCATATCTGAGTCTGTATAATATAAAATAGGAAATATACATACTGGTGCTATTGTCTTTTAATTTCTTATGACAATTTTAATTGATAAATTTATTTGTCTGCTAATTGGTTGACTTGTATTTATGAATGAAAAACTATAACTGTACTGCACAAACAGTTGGGATCTATCTACCTTTGCTAGTAGTGTGCTTCAGATTTAATCACCTCAGTTGCAGGGACTAAACAGACATAATTTGGATCATATGATCCATCAGCATGTTAAGCCCACACACTTCAATTCATTATAAGTACTGTATTCAGAAGTGCAATAAACAACATTACGCGAACACCTGGTTTTGATTAGCGCTGCCGCATCTAAATCCAAGCTTTTACATGCAAAATGCAAATTGAATTCTGCGTTAACACCCGAATCGAAAATGTCATCCATTACCCCAAGGTATTTTTAAATACCGCTAGAATACTACGTGTCTCCGTAGGTATTAATATCATAATTGCCAGCTACAGAATACAAGTATCCTGTCTACAGTTTAATGAATGTCTTAATCTTGCTAGAGGGGAGTTACATGATGTTTCATAATGTTTGTCTAGTTCTTTTTATTATGTCATACATTAAGATTTACTGTTTGTGATGACATTTTCAAAATCTTTTGTAATGACCCTTAAATTGGTTGGTAATCAGTTGAAGTATATTGATAGTAAAACATCTGTAAATAATTGAAAATCAATTTATGTTGATCTTATTTATTTTGAAGTGACCAATTATTTTTTTAATCTTTTTTTTTTCATATTTTACTGGAAGGTATATTTTTAAACAAATCAAGACGTTGAGAGCGGGCTGGGACAGGGGAATCCCCTTAGACTGGCCTGGACCCCCCATCGTCCAACGTACACCTAGGTCATTGGATTAAAAAAATAATAATTTGCCTATCCAAATAACATTATTTTGACTCCTAATCCCAAATACTGTATTGTGGTCTAAAAGCAAATTTTGGACCTTACTGAACAAAAAACTGGTGTGAACCGTACAAGGGAGTCATTATTGAGGGCCGTCGACCGAGGCTTCCTCAGACCCCTGCGTCAGGCTTTCTCAGACCCTTTCTGGCGCCTCCACCGGTTGAGGGTGGAGTTGTACGTTGTTGCTTTAGGGTGCTTTGTTTCTAATCCCTGAAACTGATGTCAAAAAGACCTCCCTTTTCTGAATTGCAAATTTAAAGGACAGTATTGGTTTTAAATAAATTTATATCTGTGCCAGTGTTTTTGCACCACAAATTTATATATATTTATGAATTTACAGTATTTCTTTTGAGAATAGTACAAATGTAATGCTAGAGAATCGTATCAATGTGTCAATTACTGTATAAACTGTGTGTCACACACAACAATCAGTGTTTTAAGGAATGTTTTTAGCATAAATAGCTAAATTATGGTAAGAGAAAATATTTGTCTACAAAATATGAATGTAATTTGATAATTAATGCAAGAAAATTATTGATATGTTTAGGCACAAATACTAAGTGAAAGCATGCTATATTTTTATTATCTGATGCAAATAATTATTTCTACTGAATAAACTTCTGATCATGGATGAATTTTAAACTGTGTGATGTCTTTTAAAAAATGATTTTCCACAATAATATCCAACTTCCATAAACTTTATACAGTTTAATGCAACACTTACTACTGTACACTCTATAAGCTTATTTATAAATACAAGATTTCCTTCAAATCGAAGAAAAACATTACAGCCATATTAACTATTTTGTCTAGTCATTCCATCTAGAAGTTTTCGCAAGTCTGCAAATCATGACCTACTGAGATGTTTTTGGAGTGGCTCAGGATTAAACAATTCATCCACAATTCATCCATCTATATCTGTTGAGAAAGATTCTAACATCCTGTGATTGGCTGTTATGTATTAAATTTTATAAGAATTTAAATTTGGTTTTTAATTGGAGAACTGTTAGCAGTAGAAACAGGAAAACCAATCTGTCATTCCTTGAGGAATAAGATTATCTGTATCAAGCACGCTTATTTAGATTCATACCAACTTGGCAACTGTTACAATGTCCTTTGCACACAAGTTCAACTAAATCCGAGAATCCTCTTAACATCTCATTGCCTACTGATTTAAGAGTTTTATCACTAAATTAAATACAGCTGTAATATTTCTCTTTGTAGTAAAGTAATTGTCGAAATGATGCAAATCCAGTCATCAATGCAAAGAAGCAAATTAAAAACTAAATAAGATACCCCATCTACAAACATGATTATCGCTGTAATCAACTTTGAATGTATTTAATATGGTAAACTTTACTGGGGCAGATATGCAGACAGTGTGATCATGCACCCCCCCCCCCCCCCCCCCAAATTGTATTTGTATTAAGAAATATACAGTAATTGTATTATATTGATATGAATTACTGGTAAGATTTTTAAATTATGAGTGCGCAATTTCCAGGCACCTAGAAGTTCATATTCTCAAAATTTTCACACCTCAGCCCCAACCATGCTGGGGCTGAGGTGGTGTAAATTCTCACGCACTGGTCCCCTACCGCCAAATCCTGCAACTGCCCCAGCTTTAGTAATGTTTATTCAGCTGCCATAAACCTTCTATTGGCTTTGTCGCAGGCAACAGTTTGTCTTTAAGATTCTCATTGTAAAATATAAGGCCCTAGTGTCATCATCTTGTACTTGTTCCTTGCCATTTATCTATCATCCCAATATTCTGAACAAAGTCTTATGGTCTTTGTTGTCATTAGATTCATTTAAAGTTAAATTTTAAAACATTTTATAACAAAGGGGACACTGCACCTATGATTGTTATTAGAATTGGCACATTCAGGTTATCTGATTAAGCTCAATTTAAAATGACCACCAAGCTAGTTTTTTTAGCTTGAAGCACAACATGTATCATGGCCACGTTGCTTAGTGAAGTCAAGGTTTTCATTGAAACTTGATCTTCCTTAAGAGGCACATACATACAGTTATTGCAACGGTCACTATGTAGTTTGACGCTCAATCTTAACATTTCAGTGGATAATTCCATTCAATGCCAGAATCTGTCCTTTCAATCAGTTGGTAGGTCCCATAGGAATGACTATCTGCACGTACATCCCGATGCAGGATTACTGATGGGGAGTACACCTTGGGATAACAAGAGCTCTTTTTTCCTTGTAGAAGGTTCAAATTATAAATTCTCCCTGATATAATTTATATGCGATTTGGTAGCTACGATGATTTGTTATTGAAATTGGGATAATGGTGTTTGTTGATTGGCAAGTGAAGGGTCTTCCATCTGTGGATTAGCTGTAAATTAAATAATATAGATTTTACTAGTAAATATGTATTCACCACAAGAGGGTAGCATACAACTTTTATCAACTTATTCATTAATCTTTAGACAAGACTTTTTATACCTTGTTTAGTAAACCCGCCTGCCAATAATGATGATTTGGAATTAAATTAAAATTTTATATTTGGCCAATTAGTGCACCCATCGCCACAGAAAGTGGAAGTTTCAGAAAAAAATTAAAGTTTTTCTTTATTTTTATTACGCCAGCCGCTGCCTTGAAATCTCAAAAAATAAGATACGTATATTTCTTCCTAATTATATAAAATTAAAGCATTTAACAATTATATTACTAAACTGTACATTCACCAATAAAATTTTATTTTTACTTTCTCCTCCATCTGGCAGTCATGGCACCAATTTGCTTGATATGATGTTAGACATCAAAAGTTTATGGAGGCAAATATTTAAAGCAGGCATTACTGATGGCAACATAAGGCAAGACATTTTTTATACCTTGTTTAGTGAACCTGCCGCTTGCCAATAATGGTGATTCTGAATAAAAATAAAATTTTATTTTTTGCAATTAGCAAAAATAACATTTTAATTTAATTTCCTCATCCCTCATCATCATCATCATAACTAAATCAGAAAAAAAAAAATTGTTTCTTATTTTGTTTCTGCCTTCCTCTGACGATGTTAAAAAAAATAAGTTTGCAAAACAAGGTATAAAAAGAGTCTCGCCGTAAGAGTTCATGGTTCTACAACTTTTAATTTTTATCAAATGCAATGAACTCACTTGGTCTAAACTGTTCGGCAGAGAATCGTGTCATTAAAATTCCAATTCCTTCAATCATAGCCAATAGGACTCCACCTAAAATTTATAACAAGAATTGTAACATAATATTGATGACAGTGACAAAAAGAATAGCATTAATATTAATAAAAACAATAATATTACTATATGACAATGATTTAGGGTGGCATTGAAGTTTCAATTAAACTGTTAAATATGATAATTCAAACAATGTTGAATACTGCAGGCTTACCAATGATTGCTGAACCTGTCATGGCTACTGCTCCACCTAAAAAAAAAAATACAATATAAAAGATTTATTCACTCTTAAATCCCACACACGACTGTGAAACTAATATCAGATTTATTACATATGATACAAGAAACTTTATTGCAATTTTTATCATAAAAATTGAAGTTGAACAATCAAATATGAAAACACAGTACAATTACATTATGAAGGTATGAATCACAATCAGAAGAATCCAATCTAAAAACAAAAAATAAATCCTTAAGCTACAATTGATTAGGCCTAAACAAATTTAAATATTTCATGAACTAATACAAATTTCAAGACTTAGAGATATAGAGGGAGTAAATGGTATGTGAACGTGGTAAAGGTTAAGCTCTAAAATTGTTTAAAAAATGTTATAAAAAATGGATTGGAGAGAGAATTGGATTGGAATTATTTACAATTTTATATACAATTTTTAAGTATTGAATAGTAAGTAGAAATACCATTCTTAATAATATTTCTCAGACTCTAAAATACGGTAAGGCTTGTGCAGGGAATATATCACACTAGTGCAAATAATTAAGCCTAGAATTCTGTGTGCGCATTTTGGAAAATAAGGGCCAATTTCCAGGCAATTTTTCCAAATCTCTCAATATATACAATTAATGTATAAGCAGTAATTACGCTTCCACACACCTATTTTCCTTTGAGTTGGTTTTCGAGATATCTTCCGTGCAAAAAAATACTTTACAGTGTGGCATGTTGTCTATTGTCACTCCTCAATGTTGCCTTTTTCGTTTACGTGAATTTTACAATATTTGACTTGAGATTCATTTATTTTTAATAGTTTTTAAGAATCCTTTCAAAATCCATCCCTTAACAATATCGCATTGCTATCATTACAATAATCTGGAATAAAAACCAAAACAATATCCCAAAAACTTACCTCCAACAATGGGTGCTTTGTGTTTTATTGCCATAAAACTTCCTACCAACCTGTACCTGAAACCCTGTAAAAAATTATTTCAATCAGACTTAGAATTAGAAGGAAAAGACTAACAAACAATTTTTCTGTTATAAATTAAATGTTATGAGACAATATGAATTGAACTCTTATCTTTTTGGACTTACTGCTGGTGCATTTCGTGCTCCTAAGAATGAATGTACAACTCCACCGCCAATGACACCCATGGAAAAAGCACCACCACAGTCATCTACTATCCTCCATGGACTAGATAGAAAAAAGGAATAAAAATACTTTTTTAGCCAAAAGGTCCACTGATTTTCTTTGAAATAATTATATCAAATGAATATTAAATATTCACAAAATTTTTTTATACAGTTCATTTCAAATTGTGCACCGTTGCCGATTGAAACCCTACTTCGACCAAAATATTTGGTTCGCACGTCACGAAATACGCAATAGTTCATTCTTCAAGTTCAAGTTTGATTTATTTTGCCATTTGTAACATTGGAATTTCATGATTCTTGACAATGTTCTAATAAATAACGAAACAATTATGGCTCAAGTTTGTCATTTTTTTCAGACAGAGTCGGACTTCTAACGCTGGGAAGTTGGGTTCCAGTGTCGGATCAATAACCACGGCGTAAATATAAATTTATCTAGGCCTAGGCCCTACTGCTATGTTTGATTTCCTGTTGGGTAAAAATACCAGCTTGATGGTAGGCCTGTTGAAAGGGCAGATAAGAAGGAGGCCTACTAAGAAGACTCTAGGACAGATTAGCCTAATGGCCTAGGCTAGGCCTCCTTGACTTGTTGGGCCTCTCGCTAGCCTTGGCCTAGAGGCTAACGTATCTTTCTAGGATATTGACTAGTAAATTTTAAACATATAGGCCCTAGGCCTAACGATCGTATACAGTTTAACAAAGTTATGACTTTAAAAACAAAATAAATGTATGTTTTTATCGACTATCTTACCAAGGTTCACGTGCGTATTCTTCCATTTTTTGGCCGAAGTTGCGAAACTACCAATCTTTACAATGAAAATAGCGTTGAAACCCCAATGGCATTAAGTAAAATAAGGATTTTTTTTAAATGACCCCGAATACATTATATCGCCTTACACCGGTATTTATATTTCGTTCCATATTTTACTCACATCTTTCATCCACCGCCAAGTTTGAGGTTTGGGTTGATTACTAAAAATATTTTGACAAGAATCGTTAATGGAGAATTCGACGGTTAATGATCCATCGGATTGGCCATCCACTATGACAGAACTTAGGGTAATTTTAAGCATTGATGAATTACATGCAATAAACACAAAATATTGCTATTCTTTGTTTGGTAATGAACAAGTTAGGCCTAGGCCAGAGGTAATGGTGTGGTCGTGGTTGCAGTGCAATGCCACTCAATCCCTCTTTCTGCCTAGGCCTAGATAGCGAGCTTTACAGTAAGTTGAGGCCTAGGCCACTAGCTAGCTATGAAAAGTTAGACCTTTCAGTTGGCACACATGTCATGCTAGTGGTAGGTCTGTTGACCATGGGTTACACAGGTAGGTAATACCCTTCCCTTACTCTTTGACAAATAGTATACATCATCAGTACTGAGGTTTTTGTGCACAGAAGAGGAGAGCCAAGTAAGTTAGTAAGTACAACAAACCAAACAGCACAGGACCAACAACAGATGTCCTCTCCGAAAGATGAAGTAAATTTGGCTTGGGGCCTACTGCCCTGATTGTGGAAAGTGGCCTAGGGCCGGCCTAGCGAATTAGAACACTAGCAAAGATCAGCTTTTGATTCCTCTCTGACATAAAGGCCACAAAAATATAAGTTGTATTATATAAGCTAAGTGTATTTATTTATTCTTTCTTTATTCTGAAATATACTTTAAATACAAAATGTACAGTAACTCACTGGTTTCTAAAGTGGTTCAGTTAATAAAAGTAACCAAATATACAATTAATAAAAATAAGTTAACTAATGTAAAACAAGAAATTTTTTTATTTAGAATCCAAGTACACACTGACGTACACAAAGCTGAAAATTTCAGTTCAAGAAACCCCACTCCAGCGTTCAGGCAAACACATAGCAAAAGCAACTTTACAAAACTGTATCGTTTTCAAAAGAAATGATATGAAATCTACTACTGTAATATTTTTTATGATAGTGTCTAAACCTAAATATTAACTCTACAAATTTTTCTTCCACAGACAATTGATAACCTTCTTCGCTGTCCTATTTGTTACGAATTCCTGAAAACTGCAATGATGATTCCAGAATGTTCTCACAATTGTAAGCAGCTTTAATGTAGCTTTTAATGCATACTGCATACATGTTTAATCTATAATTCAACTTTAGGCCAGTAAAGGAAACAACTCAACCAATCTTGTTTTTGAAAATTAAACAATGCGTATGTTTTGATTTTATGTTCAGAATCCAATGTCATAAATTGCTTTATGTTCAACATTTGTTTCTTTTGCAGTTTGTTCTCTATGTATACGTACTTACATGGCATACAAGAACCAGTGCCCAACCTGTAGTATATCATTCTTGGAGACAAATCTAAAGAACAACAGAGTTCTAGATGATGTTGTGAAGAACTTCCGTATTGTTCGGTCAGTAACCAGAGCATTATTATAAAATGTTTTAACTATTACTTACATTACTATTATTTAACATTTTTTTTCAATGGTTCTGTAAAATTCATTAGTAATATTTTTATGTAAGTAAATTTAATTATTGCTTTTGGTATGAATTACTAATTGTCGTATGTGCTTCAACAGACCTCACATATTACAATTGTGTAAAAATAGTGAAAATCAGAAGTCTGTGGGGATGACGACTACAACATCGACAGGCAGTGGTAGTGTTTGCTACAGATCATCATCTGCAATTTCCAAATCAGAGCAGATTCAGGTAATTAAATCTAATGATTAGTAATGTTGGTGGTGGAGGCAGCAGTAGTAATAATAATAATAATAAAAGAAAAAACACCAATAATTAGACTTCTTGTGAAAAGTTTACAGCCAATGATAAATAAATATTAATAATATGAACATTTATATATCACGCTGACCATGACGATCCTTTACAACGATCGCATCCACGAGATGGCCAGGGAGTTACAGCTTCCCTTCGACACCCAGCCTAGCCTAGCATAGTCCTCTTTATCCTGGTGTTATAAACAAGATGCACAAGGACACCTGCAGGGCCTCACTGCACTTCACCTCTGTATGAACGTTTATATAAAGTTCACACATCCTTACACTGGTGTTATAATCAAGATACACAAGGCATATGCAGGGTCTCACAGCGCTTAAACAAACACCTTTAGCAACACAAGAAACCTGATTTTGAGATAGAAAGTTGTGGAGGCAACTTAGACAGTGCACAGCCATATCCATTGCATGCCAATAATACTTATACTTTTTGCATATATTTAACAAATTTATTTAAAGTGTTTCATACTTTTCCTACAGAGTTCAAAGGCATCATTAGCAACAGACTCTCACTCGAAGAATAAGTCCACAAAAGTTTCCCTCTCCAAACGTTCACCTTCTGCATCAAAAAGCTCTTCGGACATCGATGATCCTGATTTTGAACCTTGTAGTAAGAGTCCTCGAATCCGTTCTAACCAGACCCCCAAGAGGAGAAATCTACGAGCTCATTTCAAGCCCTCAGCCTCATCTACTGAAGAAGATGAGGAGGATGAGGTTGTATGTCCCACTCCCGTCGTGTCAAGACAACAGCAAGTTGGAGATGGGGATCCTCCTATTTTATTAATACCTTCACCGCCCTCAACGTTCAACAATAATCCAACTAGAGGTAATCAGAATTTAGATTAAACTCGGTCCACACTATACATTTTTTGTGTCAAATACATTTCTCAATATACCTGAGTGTTACGTGATATCATACCAATATAATGGGGAAATCAATCACTCAAATTTGTCACTTAGGTTTCTTTATCATATTTGCTCATATGACAAATTTGCGATGGTGCAGTTGTCACAGATTAACTGAAATTCTAACATTAGACGTTTTTTCCTCCTGGACTCTAGCAAAGTGGTCAGTATTGGATAATTTTTTTTTATTGTATACTGTATAGTTGATTGACATCCTTATGGTCTTGGGTTAACATCCTTTTGAAAAAAAATCATTACCCGGTACTTATTCTTATTATGGTTATTTACATGAATTATATTATATTATTTTTGGTAATATTATGATTGAGATCAACATCAAGCCCTATTCCCTGAATCAGTTTGAATATTATTTGTTTTCTGTTTCAGCATCTTGCCCTATTTGTGGTGTTAGTGTTCTTGAACGATTCATAAACACACATCTTGATAAATGTCTGGCCAGCCAAGAGAAAAAGGATGCACTAAGGTGAAGTTTACTTTGATGTCATGTGACATTTGGGTTTAAGACCTCGTACTAGTAACTATGGGGGCTTCCAAGAGTTCAGTTCTCTAGCTGTTTTCCTTGTGACTTAGCTGCAGGAATTCTTCAACTCCTTTTGGAAGAGTCAGTTGATTTGTTGATCCTGTGGGTAATATTGCCCATGTTTTGATCTGGTTTCAAAATATGATTATTTTGTATAAAAATTTTTATCTTTTAGCAGATTCTATTTGGTTAATATTGCATGCATTAACCTATTAATTGTTGTTGTTGTTTTTTTTTTAAGCCCTGAGAAGCCACTCTAGGTAAAGGGTTACTTATTTTAAAAATTCTTTTCACTCTTTCTAATCTATTTTTTTCTCCTTGCACTTAAGGCTGAAAATTATATTTATGCTATATTTCTCTTTACATCTGCACTCCTTAAACAGAACAAAACGGCGCCCTCTGTTAAAGTTTGTTTGCAACCTGATGTCAGACAAAGACCTGCGGAAAAAACTAAAAGAATACAATGTGTCACACCAAGGAACAAGACAAGTAAGGCAGTGTGCAAGACTACATACACATTATCATCTTGTCAGTTAATTACAGCAGGGATGGATCCAGAAATATTTGAAAGCAACACTACCGCAAAATTTTTGTTTTCCAGATGCCCAAAAATGACATCTGAGGCATTTTGTGTGCTCTCAACCCCACCCCAATCCGCCCCTGTATAGTACTATCTACCATGTATGAAAAGAGAAGGTGGTGTGTGCAGTGGTTGGAGTTTTTGTGGTGTTGATGATTTATGACAATGATTGGCAAAGGTAGTTGTAGCGTATGACCTTTAACATGTAACATCGTTGATTTGCATACAAGTGCTGATGGTTGTGTTAATGGTAGTTGTGATGGTGCTAGTGGTGTGGATATTATGTATGATGATTAAGTTGATATGATGTAATGTTTAAGGATAATGGATAGAATTAGAACATGAATGGCAGTAGTAGTGATGCTGATGTTAATATTATTGTTGGTGATAATGATTATGATTATGATAATGTGTTGATTGTAGTACATGGCTTCATGACTATCAAAGATGTTTCTATTGTCTTTCTTTTCTCAGGTTTTAATTAAGCGTCTAAAAGATTTTTCGTTACTGTACAATTCATACTGTGACAGTGACAATCCTAAGTCAGGTAAAATTTAATACAGATTTCTATTTTATAATTTAATATTATGTGATTCAAAGTTGTATTTTGACATACATATTTGTAATTGATTTATTCATGTACCATATAAAAATAACTCTTTGCAAACAATCTATAACCAACCGATCAATCAATCATTTTTGGATGGTCCAAATACATGTATGAACTTGTTTTGATAGAAGATTGAATTAAGGAAATTCTATAAATTTTTTGTTCATAATAATATAAACTAGTATATGTTTTCATTACTAGTGGAAGCAATTTCAAAGGAATTTGAGAACATTGAGAAGATAAAAATGAAACATTCAAGTGACACAGTCAAAGATGTGAGTTCTTTATAGTGCATTAGCAATTTCCTAGTGCATTAGCATCTTCTTAGTGCATTAGTATCTTCCTAGTGCGTTAGTATCTTCCTCATGCATAAGCATCTTTTCAGTGCATTTGCTTCTTCCTAGTGCAGTAACATCTTTCTCATGATTAAGCATCCTTCTAGTGCATTAGCATCTTCCCAGTATAGTTGTATCTCTCTAGTGTATTACTGTAGTATCTTCCCAGTGTATTAGCATTTTCCTAGTGTATTAACATCTTTCTAGTGCATTAGTGTATTCCTAGTGCATTAGCATCTTCCTAGTGCATTAGTGTATTCCTATTGCATAAGCATCTTCCTAGTGCATTAACATCTTCCTAGTACATTAGCATCTTCCTAGTGTATTAGCATCTTCCTAGTGCATTAGCATCTTCCTAGTGCATTAGCATCTTCCTGGTGCATTAGCATCTTCCTAGTGCATTAGCATCTTCCTAGTGCATTAGCATCTTCCTAGTGCATTAGCATCTTCCTAGTGCATTAGCATCTTCCTAGTGCATTAGCATCTTCCTCATGCATAAGCATCTTCCTTATGCATTAGCATCTTCCTAGTGCATTAGCATCTTCCTAGTACATTAGCATCTTCCTAGTGCATAAGCATCTTCCTAGTGCATTAATATCTTCCTAGTGCATTAGCATCTTCCTAGTGTATTCCTAGTGCATTAGCATCTTCCTAGTGCATTAGCATCTTCCTAGTGCATTAATATCTTCCTAGTGCATTAGCATCTTCCTAGTGCATTAATATCTTCCTAGTACATTAGTATCTTCCTAGTGCATTAGCATCATCCTCAATGCATTTATGAAATGTACAGATGGTGAATAGAATTCATTAACATTAATTTGTCCATGTTATAGAGGCTTGTTGTTGAAAAAGGGAAAACTGATGAAGAGTTTGACGAATCAAGGAAGAAGTACTGTAAGTTTTTATATATACTGTATATATATATATATATATACTGTATATATACATTTTTTTTTTTACATCACATACTTGTACTTAACATTTGTTTTAGCATTCCCCTGTTTATGGAAACTTTTTTCACTATCTTTTTTTCCAGTGGTATCCCATAAAAGTCAGTTTCAGAAAATGATCGAGGAAACAAGGAAACGACAACTTGAAATGAAGTCTAAAGCCAGTAAATCAAAAGCGCCCTCTACGGACAGCACATCTGCATCTTCATCTATTGGGTCCCTGAAAGAAGGAGAAAATCAACAGACAGAAGGTCAAGACAAGTTAGTAAGAACTCAGGACTTATCTCAAACTTTAAGCTCAAGCAGTCAAGACACGTCTCAGACTTTAGGGTCAGAATTATCAAGAACTCAAGACTCGTCTCAGACCTTGAGCTCAAGTACTGAAGACACATCTCAGAGTTTAAGCTCAAGCACACCAGATTCATCTCATATATTAAGGACAGAATTAGTAGAGACTCAAGATTCATCTCAAATGGTAAGGTCGGACTTTGTGCGGAGTTGGCCTGTAAGTGATCCTCAAGCTTCAGACAGAGGTATAGTCTTCCCAAAACTGAATGTTTCACCATCAACAGAAAATGCTAGGAATTATTTAGGAACTTTAAAAGGTGAGGATATGATGTAGGTTCTATTGTTGTTATTGTCTTTTATATGCATTTTCAATAGTCATTATTAATTTGATTGATAATTGTATAATGTACAATACAGTGGCATAACAGCTATTGGCTCTCCTTGGCTGTGATACTGTAAAACCTTGAATTGAAGCCCAATTGAATTGAAGTCCCAAAATTAGCCTCGAAATCAAGATAGCATAGACTTCTTTTTGAGATAGCACAGTACATACACTGTACATGAATTTCAAAAAACAAAATAAATTGTAAACAAGCTTGGTTTATACAGTAATTTTGGTGATTTAATGCCAGTTAAATACACTCCATGATACAGATAGATGTTACAGTGGCCTTATTTATTGTTTCATAGTACAAATTCACAAAATTTACTGCATTCATTTTGAAAAGAAGCCCCCATCTTTACTTTGCAAAAGTAGCCTGAAAAGTAGCCCATCCAACATTCGCCAAAAAAAACAAAAAAAAAACAGAGCTTCAATTCGAGGTTTTACGGTATTCATTAATAACATTTTATTGAGCGAGGCATTTTAAAGAGCACAACATGTTTAAATATCATCATAATAGTGTACATACATAGACATAAAAATTGTAGTTCATTGGGCGGTCTACCCAGACCCAGCCCAAGGGTGGAGGGCCTGAAGGAGTCTTAGCCAGGAGCCCAGACCTCTTTGTTACACCACTGGTACAATATAATGTATATCCATATTACATATACATATACAGCACAATAATATATTCTCAGGTCTGTATAATGTACATATCCATATACATACATACATACATATAGTGTACAATAATATATTCTCAAGTTGGCGTGGCAACAATAGGAGGGGGAACAGTCCACCCGACGGGGAGAAAAAAAACCACAATTTGTTGGGGAGAAAAATATATTTTTTAAACAAGTTAATAGGCTCTAAAATCTATTAAATAAACCTTTAAAACCTCTAAATTTTCAAAAGCTTTGGAGCCCCACTTTCAAGATATTTTGAGCGACGCCCGACCACACCCGCATTGCTCTCGTTTAAGACACCTGTCGTGCAAATCCTGGCGCCACCCCTGTTATCAGGTCTTTTTAACTTCGATTTTAGTGACACTAACATTCCAACAAATATTTTGTGCAGTTATACTTTCTTATTACTTTGCAAGATGTGCATGAGGCTGACCGTAAAGTGTTGCTATGGGAGTCACTTAGTGATGTTTCACAAAACGAAACTGATGCAGCCCAAAGTAAAACACAACTCGATTCCATGCCAAGCACACCACAGGGAGAATACTATGTACCTGAGAGGTAATTTGTTTTTATATACATTTTGGAGTTTCCGTTGGCCCTGCTGGCAGACCCCCTACAGAAAGAAGCAGAAATGCTTAAAAGGTTATCCTGAAATTCTCTATAATTGTTGTTTTATAACTCATTTAATTTCTGTATTTGTTTACTTGTGAGAATTTAAAGATAAATAAAATCATATCTAGCTGTTTTGCCATTTATTGGAAGGCAAGTGTCTTGACCACCAACTTAAGCTCCTCTCCAGGTGGTGGATCTAGGATTTTGAAATAGAGGGTGGCCAAGGGGGACTTTCACAGATGGAGGGTCTAGCCACGTCATCCCCACCATGGTTGAGGCTGGGGTAAGAAAAATTATGATTATGGCAACTCTATATTGCCAGAAATGGCACTCTCTGACTAAATATAATTTTATTTTTTCTCCATATTTATTTCCCTTCCTCCAAATCCACCACTGTACTCCATTAGATATTCTTTTGTATTTTTACTTTATAGCCCTGTCTTCCAAGCAAAAGTCTCACGACGGTCTGGAATTAAGCGAAAAGATGTTAATGAAAACCCAAGAGAGGATATGGAAAACATCCGAAGAAGCAAGCGAAATAAACAAGACACTCAATAGCCATGTGCTGTAATCTATGACAACTATATAATCTATAGTTTATATAATCTTTCATATAATTTTACAGTAATTATAATATCATTTTATAACTATATCACAAGAATGATAATAAATATCATTCTACAGATATTTTAATTCTCCCAATAGAACAGTTATATATTGTAGTCTATGGCAACGTAAGCAATCTGTAGAAATTCTGTCTACAGAGAATAAAATAATTGATAATGCTATCACACTACTTGCCATTTCAAGAGGAATGAATTGAATTATGTATCTGTCAACGACTGTGTATTGTGACGTTTGAACATCCATAGATTAATTGTGGGATGACATTTAGGCAGATTATATCAGCATTCAAAACATTGAGATATTTTCTGCTGTGCCCTACATTGTGTGCTCTACATCCAGCCCCCGCACTTAACAATAACGTCTTTGGTTTTACCGCATCCATTTATTACCGATTCTTGGAGTCATGTGGTTATAATATGTATTGATGCATGATGATCAGATTATCCAAATTATTTGCTTTAAAAAAAACATAAATATTATATAATAATGCATGTGTTGAAATAAATACCTATTATCCAAATATAATAATTGTCCTGTATTTTTTTTATTATTACTGTACCCCATTTCAAATTGATTCAGTTTGATTAATGATTGATTTCATTAGAAGTCAGAAATAATATTCAACATTTCTACTACTAATTGCTTCAGAGAACAACAACGCTTACGTCATGAACAAGACATGTATGTTTGTTAACATTTACGCGAGTAATGTAATGCAAATGGAAATCTATTTTTATGTTCAATCGTACGAATCCAAAGTTCCAACAATACTATATTCTGTTTGCCGCCCTCTATAGTTTGTATTACTTAATTTTTCTGTATTTTGATAAGAGATAAAGTCTCTCATTTCGGTTAACATATATTGAGTTTTAATTTATACCACTTTATACAACAGTAACATTGGTAGAAACATAATAATATGTTTCCATGTGTAGCTCACAAGAATTATATGGCATTCGATTAGGAATATTGATTGAATAGCTCAAAGGATTATTAAACTTTAATATTAATCTAATCCAATAGGCCGAAAGCAACCAATCGTCCACAAAACCCACCCAAACCCGAAATATCAATTCCCATTTTGGAGGGTTACCGTCCCAACTTTTACAGATGTTAACTTGTTCATATTTTCGTTCTGATCCTTACCGGAATTCTGTACCAATTTCATGAACCGTCAGTTCGTATAAATGTTACCGATCATTGTTGTTTCAATTGATTTGGGATCTATAAGCAAGGTACTTGGGTTATGGTATGGTGGCAAATTCCTTTGACAAATATATATATATATATATATATATATATTTATATACATACATACATATATATATATATATATATATATATATGGATTTAGGTCCTAGCTAGTCTTAGCTCTGTCTCTTATACACATCTAGATGTGTATAAGAGACAGCTTTTAGGCCTAATCTGTTGTTAAGTGGGAGGGTGGAAACGAAAATTTGGTTTTGTTCTTGTGTGGGTTAGTTGGGGAGGGTTTTGCTTTGTTTATGTTTATTTTTGCTCTAAAGGGAAAGGAATTTAAATGAAAATTTCTCGTTGGTTGCTTTGGGTGGGGAGTTAAGTAAGGGGTAAATGGGTGGGGTTTATTTTTAATTCTTGTTGCTCATAGTTAAGTTGTGTTTTGTTTTAGTGATTTTGTATATTTTGTTTTATTTTCTTGGACTCACCTCCCTTTGGAAGAGTGCCACTGATCTAAAAGTGTATGTTCCGAACAAATAAATAAATAAGATAAAAACTCTTCATCAGATGTCTCCATTAGCGGTTAGGGCGAGTTGTTCACACAGTGTAAAAACCACATCCGCACGTGTGCGTAATTTGGACAGCATAAGTCATAATAAAGTGTTAGTTAATTATGGCAGTGGTTGCAGACCTGGGCCTACATTGACATTGGGTATGATAATAACTATTATTTGAATTTTCCCTCATCCCCTTGAATAGTGCCTGGGAGTTCCCTCGCTTCCGCTACCTTGTAAAAAAAAAACCTCTTCGACCTTTGTTTGGCGTGTGAACGGGCTGAGCAGCATCAATAGAATATAATCGATGCTCGTTTGTTTTTAGGTAATTTCCCAGAATGCACTATTATAGAGCAGGCGCAAAATCTACCGATGTTGTGTTTTTGAAGAGCACATGTGCCCGTTAGACGATACGATGTGAGGACCCCTGTTTTAAATTGTGACCTTTCCCTGCCTTGAAGGCAATTTAATTTCCCTTATTACAAGTAAATTTATTAGCATTTTCTGAGCTTTTGTCCAAAGCAACATCATGGGAATATCTGGATTTTTAGACTACGTAGAACGCAATTGTCCGCAAGCATGTGAGCGAGTCGATTTGGGCCAGGTTGCCTTGAAACGTCTGAATACACGCCGAGGACGTGCACCTGTCGGACAAAACCCCCTTAATTTGATCGTGGATGCAGATAGTTGTTTGCACAGGCTATATGGAGGTAGCTTCACAGATTGGGTATGTGGTGGTCAATGGAATAGTATGTTCCAGTTCATTGATAACCTTGCTAAAGCATGCAGAAGCCACAACATCAAGCTACTTGTTTATTTCAAAGGAAGCCTGGACACGCATCACACTCATAATTGGATAAAACAACAAACACAAGGTCGAAATACAGCTTATCAAGCTCTTTGTCATGTTCATAATAAAGGCACCCCTCCTCCAAAGGTATGGTTTGTGCCTCCAGTTGCATTAGGTAAGTTGAGTGGTCAAAAAGAAATTGTTTTGATTCCATAATTCATGTGGGATTACTGCATCCGCTATATGCAAATAGGCTATTTGAACTTGAAGTGTGGTGTGTGTGGTCACAACAAACAGTGTTGGTAGTGGTAAATGCCTGTGTGGTTGCTGAATGGCCGATTGGCCTACTTCAAACATTGCCAAGACCAGGCCTTAGCCTAGGCCCTAAGTTTTCATATGCGGTTTGATGTATAATGATGAAATTTTGGTTTTACTATCATCTAGGCCCTAATTAATTTTATTTTATATGATTTGGATTTAGGTCCTAGCTAGTCTTAGCTTAGGCCCTAGCTAGGCCTATGTTAATTTGTGACTACTTCAGTTTTCGACCCCCCCCCCCCCCAATTTTCAGTTTTCGCCCCCCCCCCCAATTTCCTGACCCCCCCAGATTTAATAACGATTTTTTAATTATCAATTTCTATGTCGCTTGTAAAATGATATCGTTTTGTGATGTAAACAGTGTGAAGCACTGACCCTCGAACAAAAACTGTCCGCAAAAAACAACTTTTTTTCAAATTATGAATTCACATTTTTATGAAATATATTCCCAAGGGAGAATAAGAATATGGTGTCATATTATTACATCTAAAATTGATTACCTTAGAGTGGAAAAAACTATCCCAAGTTTACATTTATTCGAAAGAAAATTTAATTCTATAAACGTTGAGATCGAAACATGGCCGCTGTCACGTGGCTTACAGTAGCAAATAAGAAAAGAGAGGTTAGGTCACAGATCAAAGGTTGGGGTTATTATTCGACACCCTATCGTTAATTACTATGAAAATATAGAGGGCGTCCTAAAACCAAGATGGTGAAGTAGCCATTTATCGCTACTTTTTTTATAGTACTGCCACAAACTATTGCAATTTTACCTGCGTGCGGGCTTCGTAGATGCATCGTAGTCTGATATAAACAATCTAAGCAAGGCTACGCGAAGCGAACCTATGAAGCAAAAGCATGTTTATTTGTATGTGCAGAAAGACTGCTGTAGCTTACTGGAATAAACAATGTATTGCTTGATAATTTCTGAATGACAAGCACGAGTTTAGACCATTAATTTAAAGTATGGAGCTGTTTTTCAATTAGAAAAACGTACACTTGACTTAATGGGAGTCTCCTCTTCCACTCGCTGTCCACGATAGGAACTTGTTTGTACTGCTGTAGTATTTTTTTAATTAATTAGCCTAGCCTAGGTCTAGCCTATTTTTTATTTACAATTATTTTACCTCTTTTAAATGTCAAAAAATGATGTCCTCAATGACAATTCACACATTGTGAAAAGATTGTTCATCAAATAATATTTAGTAGTCTTGATTTAATAAGATAAATAATAAATATAAAGGAGATTTCGTTCGTTGGTTTAAAATTACTGAATGTCACATGGAAAACCCAGTGGAAAATAAAACTTAGCAATGTCAGTTCATCTTTTCAACCCCGAAAATCCAGCATCGGATGCCAGAGTGCGCGCTAATCAGAACACAGTAAAGTGTGTTAAAAATTAACCTCATGACAAATGTTGAAAAGCTGTGAGCGACAGTGAGTAAAAAACAAAGAAAATGCGGTCTAGCATGACTAGCCTTAATTCGGCAAGGTAGTGATTAGTATTGGATCACTCTGCAGGTTCTTCTTCAAATTACGGTAAACAATAAACGTGATCTGTAGAAATCGTAATAATTTGTACATGATTCGTCATCAGTATTATTATTTATAAGAAGAAAATTCCTACTACCAGAACAATAATATCAGTTAAAAATTCTCCGAATTGGAAAGTTAACCAGTATAATTACTGTCTGCTCTCCTCCACTATTGGGGAAAATGTAGGCCGTAGGCCTAAATGACATCGAAATTTGAACATACTGAAGGCCCACTAGGTTACCTAGCTGGCGAACTTAACACAGTTTTATAACATGATTGATCTAATAATAAGGTAGGAAATAACAAAACAATAAAGTTCTAACATTGTTAGTAAATTGCAACATTGCTCACGTGTTGAAAGCTGGTAAACTATATTTCAATATTGTTTACGCATTGTATATCAGCCCGACGATCCAGCCTACGATCATTGCAAAGCTAATTAAAATAATAATGACCTTCGTAGTGGTTTGTAACTACGTTCAAAGTGTACCTACGAGCAGATTACGAGAGGCCACTGTTGCAAAAGTGATATCCAATGAATATTTTACTGAGTTTTTCTTTTAAAATAGAAATAGAAAAATTGATGACTGCTAATTTACCATGCTGTAGAATTTTCACACAAATAAATAGGGGTCCAAATTGGAAGAAGCCACTGTTGGTGAAATGTGCGTTCTTAAATACTGTACAGTACATCTAATTTTATTTTCCTGCCTGTAATGATGCCCATGACTAGCTGACATCAGTGAGACTACTGCAGCCCTCGAAATTAGCGTCGGCATTCGGCAATGCCGAGGTAATTGCCGACGCTTAGCAAGCTTACCACGGCACCAATTTTTTATAGGCCTAGCAAGTGGCCTAATGAAATTTCAGCTTGTATGCTCACAAAATGCTCATTTTTCAGTTTATTATTGTGTGTAAATTAAAATTAAACATTTATTTTAATCGTATAAAGTAACTAATTTAACAACGCCAAGTAAGACATGCTTACAAACCAGGAATTACCACAGTCAAGCCGATGTATTCATGCATGCTGTAAACACAATGGCCCAAGCATGTTGCGACAGCGAACGACGAGGGCGTGGAAGATTTTTGGTAGATTCTGGCCTGGGTACTCTATACCGTGACATATGTTCATCTTAAAGCAGCCGTAAAATTAATGATTAATTTATACTATTATTATAATATACCGTATGTTTTAATGTTGCTGTTTTTACGAAATAAACTTCAATATACAAATAAATTAAATATTTAGTGGTTGACTTGTTTACTTTGTGTACGTGTTTTACCTGTTAATCAAATGGATCAGGATGATTTATCAAAGGAATTTGAGGCGGCCATAGAAAAGCGCTCAAAATTATCACGCGACACGTTTCCATTCAGAATGGAATGGTACAAACTATAAACTTTACGTCCGAGGCGAGTGCAATTTACGTCGGCAATTTTTTGCCGAGGATTTATCGTCCCAATACACCTTTCCAGAGTGTCAATCAAACTTAGCAACTGACCAATCAGAACAGCGCTAGGGATACACGAGCGTCTCACAAAATACACGTGTTGTCCCACAAATGCACGTGTTTTCGTATGTTTTAACATTGTCGTCTTGTGGGACCTTAGCAACAATATCCAAGGGGCGGGGCTTAGCGGAAAGGTCCATTTCGAGGGCTGCTACTGTAGTATTAAAACAAGCTATGTAAAAAAATGGAAATGATATTGTCCCGACATTCCATAGTGCATTTAGACTGAAGTTTAAGATGAGGGTCATGCCCGTGCCAGCTCTACCAATCAACACCTCAGATTTGTGTAAAATTGTCGGAACAATATCCAAGGTGAACATGAATTTGCAGGAGATCATACCATCTTCCTGGAGACTCCTGCAACTCATGGGAAACTCAGGTACCCTGCACAAAATAATATTTTTTTGCAACTTGCATTTGGCCTGGTATTATTTTCACAGTATCTGGATCAACTTTTTATAAAGAGATCCAATTAACTAGGCAGTTATTTTCATGTGCTAAATATTGTTTTCTGTGTAAACTGCATAAACTTGATCTTTTTAATAGAACCTAGAATTAAAGACTTTTCAACTGTCTTCATCGATTTCCCACTTCCCAAAATTTTGACCTACATATAATAGAAAAAAATACTTGCACGGTTGACCTCGTCACTAGCTTATGCTTTGTTGTAGTCACATTTAAAAATGGGCCTTCATGTGATCATTAACATATTATAATATAGTTTGAGTTCGAATTGTGGGCTTTGGAACTTTTTAATCAAAACATGCAAATGAGTGATAAATTTATTGGATTCCTAAAAACTATTTTTCAACTGATCCTGCAGTCCTGTAACAAGCTTCATGTAAAGGGGAGTTCCTACTGTATACTGTAGGCCAAGTTTAAAGTCAGGCTCCGGAGGGAAACAAATTTTTGATATGTTGTAGCACTGATTTTTCTACGACAAAAAAAAATGTTGTCTGACGAAAGTCTGGGGAACGGTAAATGAGATACAGATTTTTGAATATCTAAGAACTAGGGGAAAAAGGTGTAAAAAAGTGCGGTTACGCCCCTTTTCCCCCCAGTTTTTAAATATTCAGTTTTTCGTCAGACAACTTTTTTCTCTCTCAGAAAAATCAGTGACTGAAACATATCAAAATTTTTTTTCCCTCCAGAGTCTGACTTTAACTCAAAAGTGTTCCTTTAATAGAAGAATGTTATGAAAAAGTACCACAGTAGTGGTACAGGCCTATGCTATGCATGTTAACTAGTTTGCTCTTAATTTGAAGTTTTATGCATTTGGCATTTATAGAAATGTTGTCCAAGGCCATGGAGGAAACTCCATAAAAATGTTGCTGTGATAAGGTGTTACGATATGAGAAACTAGGTCACCCAACATTTTATATTTTCTGACATAAAACTGGTAGTGAGTGAGGTAAACATGGATTGTAATCATATGAAAGTGTAAAAACCACAAAAATAGTGGTAGCAGTAAAAGTTTCTTCTTTTTTTTTTCAACAATTTTGTTTATATGATCAATGCTGTGATGTAATTACATTATATTGATTTTTTTATATTGTTTACCAGCATATTATGGTATAAACATACTAACAGACTGCTAAACCAAAAAAACTGCATTAATTACTCTTTCCTAAAAAAAAATAAAAATAACTTAATAACAAACTGCTAAACTAGAAAACTGCATCAACTCTTTCCTAAAAAAAAATACATATATAATAAATACAGTACCAACCATGTTACTATATTAGTATTTGATACTAAATTTCACACTAAAAAATAAAAATACTAATATTTTGGAAATTACTGTATA